TCTTTAATGGCAGTGCTCTTTAATGGGGAGCCCCGGTGGCACGGTGGTTAAGAACTCAGCTGCTAACCAAAATGTCAGCAGTTTGAATCCACCAGCCGCTCCTTGGAAACCCTGTGGGGCAGCTCTGCTCTGTCCTACGGGATCTGACTATAAGTCGGAATCGTCTCGATGGCGATAGGTTTGTTTTATTTTTTTTAAATCTCCAAATGTCTGTTTGTAAAGGTTTTCTGAACCTTTTTTCTCTCCAAATAGAGTTCATTGTTTTGTCTCCTGCCTCCTATAGCATTCGGTAGGCATCTCCCTTGTAACGTGTTGTATCGTGTCGTAAGGAGGTGCTTACATACCTGTTTTGTTCTGAGGACTGTTACCTTTTAAAGGGAAAAGTTTAAGCCATATTCGTTCCCAGTACCTGGCACAGAAACAGAGAAAATGGTAGATGTATTAGTTATGTATTGCTGTGTAACAAATTATCCCAAAAGGTAACAACAATTTATTGTCTCACCCAGTTCCGAGCGTCAGGAACCCAAGAGCAGTTTAGATGGGTTCTGGCTTACAGTCTTTCATAAGACTTAAATCAAGTGTCAGTCAGGGCTGCAGTCATCCAAGGCTTGACTGGGTGTGGAGAACCCACTTCTAAGATGATTTATTCACACAACTGTTGACAGAAGTCTCAGTTCCTCACCCCAAGAACCTCTCCATAGACCGCTGAGTGTCATACCTAGACTTGGCAGCGAGCTTCTCCCAGAGCAAGAGATTCAAGAAAGGGAACAGAGCAGAAGCCATAATTTCTTCTATAATCTACCTCAGACATACCATCATTTTTGACATACTCTATTGGTCACACATGAGGGCATGAATACCAGGAGGCAGGGATCACTTGGGGCCATCTTGGAGGCTGGCTACCTCAGTAGGTACTCATGAGTAAGCACTCATTCAATGTCTGAATGAATGAATGAATAGAATGACCTCCTCTGGACCATATCCCAAAGCAATTAGTGACCAAAGTACCAAAACGAACTCATTTGTCATCAGTCTTTGCTATAATAAAGTCATTCCCAGACAATGGTTAGGACCACAAACAGCACTTGAGAAAGATTCCATGCATCACTCACCCACTCTCTGAATAAAAGGACCACCTTGTCATTTTTCAGGAATATGGATAGACACAGAGCAGGGAAGATGGGGTGATTGATCTGAGGTCACTGTGAAGGTCAGATGACCCAGGAGTAGACTCCCTGTCCACCGAGATCTACCAGAGTGAGTTGTAGATGAGCACCCTTTTTGGGTGCTATTGAGTTGTTTACAATGCTGAGTCTTCACCTATTTTCACTAAACGAAGATTCATGGGTCCAGGATATGGCCAGCTTATAATTCAATAGGTTAAGATTTTCCCTCTTCTCTATTTTGGACTGAGACATACCTTCCCATTACACTGCATTCTATTCTTCAGTATAAAGCAGAATAACTGGCCATTACTATGGATTTTTAGAGAAGATTTTGACATTACTTAATTGCTGTGTTTCTGAGAGAAAGAGTCATGGCCTGGTCACTTCGTCTTATCTTTTCGTCTCACACTAGTTAAGATGGACTAGGAAGAAAGGCCTGGTGATCCACTTCTGAAAATCAGCCAGTGACAATCCTGTGGATCACAATGGTAAGATCCCAATGGATCCCCACGAGTTGGGGTCTGACCCAACAGCAGCTAACAACAACACAAGTTCCCTGTACGGATTGTCCTTTCTTTTACTTCTAATCTCGACCTATCACAGTTCTACCAGTTCTTCTAGTTCCAGCCAGATCTCTCCTCCTTCAAAAAGCTGTCCTGATCATCTCCTCTGGAGTGCTTGCTTGCTTCCTCATGGGACCAACCCTCCCTCTCAATTTGTTTCACTCTTAATGACATTGGATTTTATATTGTAAATATTTAGGGGCATGCAGGAAAAGTCACACATATTTTTGTTCTCTATCTCCTCCCAAATAAATATTTCTTAAATGAACAACTGGATACTTTTGATTTCCTTTCAAAGAGTACCAGTTTAAATTCACTAAAGGCACTCTTCATTCATGGAAACTCTGGTGTAAATACTTTCGTAATGGACAAACTCTTTTTCAATCGTCTTTGTTTTGATTTGATTTTTAGTTAGTTTTTGCTTTTAACGGTGATTTCAGAGTTCTAAAAATTACTGCAGTTTTGAAGGCAGGGCACCCATACTGTGAAATTAACAGGTAACACGTGTGCGACGTTGATGTGTTTCTTTAACAAAATTAAATGCACTAATCACATACATTTCTAAAGCCCTTTGAAAAAGTGTGTCAAGCTTACGGGTGGCCGCATTCCAGCGAACTGAATCTTTGCTACGAAACAAGAGGAGGGGTGGGGGTGGGGAGAAAACCCTTACAAGGGAGACAACTGAGCATGTGCAAGGCTCTGTGCTAACCGAAGGAGGGAAGAGGAGCGCAGTTCGGGAAACAAGGAGCGGAAAGAGAAGAGAAAGGGAATTGAGGGGAGAGAGGGGAGTCTGATCACATCAGGAAATCCCCCAGAATACATGAATGGAGAGGAGGCACTCAGGAAAGGGTGTCTTTCAATCAGAGCGCCACCCATAGGTGACGGCTGACTTCCAGGACCCTCTGGCATCTCTTCACCAGGCCCCACTCTTGGAAGGTGAGGGCAGCGGGGACCAAGATATCACTCCCCCCACCAGGTGAATCCTGAGATACCAGCCGTTTTCCTGACATACCTCTGTCACCCCGCCTGGGAATGTAGCTTTGGATTTGGAGAGGAGGTAGTGTGATATGGAAAAGATCTGTGGGTGGCGCAAGCAGTTGGTGCTCTACTACTAACCTAAAGGTTGGTGGTTCAAACCCACCCAGCGGCACCACAGAAGAAAGGCAAAGAAAATCCTATGGAGCAGTTCTATTCTGTAGCATATGGGGTTGCCATGAGTTGGAGTCTACTCGAAGTCACTGGGTTTGTTGGGTTGTTTGTTTTAGTGTGGTATGGGGGAGTCCGCTGGACTTGGAAGAATTCTGGCTCTGCCACTTGGAAGTTGACAATGGACCCCATCTCTTGGAGCCTCAGTTTTCTCATCTCTAAATTGGGACTAATAATACAATTCAGGATTGTTGTAAGGATTACACAATAGTAGGTATACCATAAATGGTAGCTATTGAAAGGCAGAATAGCATGGTGGTTCAAAGCACGGAGTCTGGATCTAGACTTCCTGGGTTTGAATCCTTGCAGGCTTATTCTCGGTGTAACTTATTTTCTCTGTGCTTCACTTTCCTAATCTATAAAAAGGGGATAATAACAGCACAGTTTCTACCTGATAGAGTTGATGAAAGAATGCGATGGTTATAATACAGTGACCGTCACATGAAAAGCATGTGGCAGATGGAAGTAGCGGTATTTGTTATTGTTATACAAGATGCCGTGGAGGGCAACAGTGAAGACTGTGCTCTGGAGCTGAATTACCTGGATTCAGATCCTGGTTCCACTCTTCACCAATTATATGACTTTAGAGTTTTGATTCCTTCATCTGTAAATTGGGGATAACAATAGTATCTACTTCATAGGATTGAATGAATTCATATATGGAAAGTGCTTACAATAGTGCTGGTGCATGTAAACAAAAAAATCTTAGCCGTTACTATCATAAATTCTAATCCAGTTTCTGGACATTTCCATGGATAATGTTAAACCCTGGTATTTTACACAATTACATAAACAATGTTAAAGTTTATATATACTTTGGTGATTAATTTAGACTACCAGTTCCCTTGGAAATAAGCCAGGCTTTCGGCGGTAGAAGGTTTTCCACTGGGTCCCAGTTGACCACCTCTTCAGTGTCTATGAATCTAGCAGATGGTGAGCTGCATTTTAAACTAGTCCCTCCAAAGAGAAGGCTGTAAAGTTCCCAGAAACATTAAATGCCCTCATTACACCAGAGTGCCGTTGTCTCCAGCTCTGTGACCCACACCTTAATGACTGGCCGTGTGGGGTCCCGCACAAAGGGAAGAGACCTTGTAATTAGGTCCGATCGAGAATCTCCCACAGGACCCCGTGTGCTACAGACTCAGAGGTTTTCAGTGACACATCAAAACCGAGCTACTTCACAGCACATTTTTTTCTTTGGTCTCTGGCTGTACTGCAGTAACAGGCCAAGTCGTTCCTTCACCGGAAAGGCTTACAGTCCGGGAAACTTTTTTTTTTTTTTTTTTTCTTTTCTTCAGCCAGTAATCGTGTAGCACAGTGATGTCACCCCACAATTATGCAATATGACTTAACTGTTGGATAGGTGACAAGAATTCCACTGACACCAGGATCACAACGAAACTGCTTAGCTGCTAAATTAGTCATATTGTACTTTGCAGATAAGTCACTTGTAAACTGTGATTAACTGCCAGTTTAAACAGCACTATTGTCTGGGCAGGGACGTCAGGGCTCATCAGTCATCGTTTAAATGATCACATCCAGGTATTCCAGCGTCTGAATAATGCAAATGAGGCCACTGAACTTCACAACGTCTCAGGCCACTGGAGAAGGGATGCGGTGTGAAAAGGAAGTACTATCTTCTCTTTTTAGGGGAAAATCTGTAAATAAATAAATAAATAAATTCATCGACTGTCTTCTTATGCGTCATTTTAATCTCTTGATGATTTTCGCAGTCCAAACAGGATGAAACTAGGGTCTGGTCCTCACTGAGGACAGGGAGCGTTCAGCGTTGCTTTGTTTTTCTCACACAAGCTGCTCTCTGTCCTGCAATTCAACCACGCTGGGAGAGGGGCCGTTTTGCTCACCGGAAGCCATCACTTATCCCACAATATCAGTGGTTAAAACTAATGCTTAAATCTGTTCATTTAAAAAGTAGTAGTATGTATCTCGGAGCCCCGGTGGTGCAGTGATTCAGAGCTTGGCTGCTAACCAAAAGGTCGGCAGTTCGAATCCACCAGCTGCTGCTTGGGAACCCTATGGGGCAGTTCGGAATTGACTCCACAGCAACAGGTTTGATTTTTTTTTTTTTTGGATATATATCTTAGAAAAACATTAGGAAATACTAGAGAGTACACAAAAGAAGGTAAGTTCCCCCATAACCCTGCACTCCCCGAAAACAACCATCATTAAAATTTTGTTGTCTATTCTTCCAGTCCTCTCTTTACAAATTTATACCCTTGTAATCATGTTGCATGTGTTATTTTATATTATAATTTTCTATCATGACACATTTTTGAGGTAGTCTTTACAACAGTGTTTATAATATTTCATCAAGATGTACACTGTAGTTTTTCCCTTATTGCTCCCATTTTTCCAGTGCTTTGATTACAAAAATAGTTATTACTTTTTCTATGTGTGAGATTATGCTTTTTCCATATTTCAGATTAATTTCTAGGCAAAAGGCCCAGAAGTGGAAATACTGGTTTCAAACCTAGCAAAGGTTTTTCTGTCAAATTACTTTCCTAAAAGTAATACCAACTCACTCCAGAAACCTGCAAAGCACAAGTGACCCACGTATAGTTATTTCTCAAGGTGAATCAATGCCTGAAGACTGTGTAGAAAACCAAAAACCCGTTGCCATCGAGTCAACTCCAACTTACAGTGACCCCATAGGACAGAGTAGAACTGCCCCATAGGGTTTCCAAGGAGCGGCTGGTAGATTCAAACTGCCGACCTTTTGGTTAGCAGCCGAGCTCTTAATCACTGCACCAGCAGGGTAGGAAGGAATGTAACTATGAAAGCTGTTGTTTCCAACCAAACTCTTATACCAGGACAGGGGCAGCTAGAATTTTTTCAGGCCACACCCCTGCAAACAGAAGGGGATAGAGGTAATTACCTTATCTTTGCTTGGTCCAGAATCACCTACTCATCAGAATATCCCCTACTAGATTTTCCATGTTATTTTCCTAGAACGTGTTTCTGGCGTAATGAAATGTCGCCACAGAATGCAGCATGTACCACGTCTGGGTTCCACTCATCTCTGAGTTAACCAGCCCTAGGCAGTTCAGCAGTAGAATGCTCGCCTTCCATGCAGGAGACCAGGGTTCGGGTCTCAGCCAATGCACCTCAAGGGCAGCCACCACCCATCTGTCAGTGGAGGCTTGTGTGTTTCATCAATGGCGAGGTAAGGTTATTGAAAAGAGAGCCACAGCTAGCTATATCCTGACGAATTTTCTAAAATTCCAAATTTCAAGAGAAAAAATCCTACAAGATTATACATACACAGCAAATTAGAACAAATAAA